AGAGAGAGAGAGAGAGAGAGAGAGAGAGAGAGAGAGAAATAGAGAGAACTAATACATATTTATGAGATATCTTTGGAAAGTCCATTCTAAAAGTTAAAAAAAAACTCAAAAGTTATACAAAAACATCGATTGAGATTTATTTATCAAATTATAAGCAATTAAAATTTGTTTTTATCATTAAATGAAGCGAGATGGAAAAAGAGACAGATATATAATGAAGAGCTGTCTTCTTTGACTAATTGTAAAGTTTACTAAAATTGTTTTATCATTGTCTTGTTGTACATTCATTGTATTTTTAATTCTTTTCTCAATTATTTTTAACTTCATAGATAAATCTTAACTAACATTTTTGTACATCAAGTTTTATATATTTTGTGTTTATTTGTTTTTAGTCTGCGAAAAAGAATTGATCTTCTAAAAGTGTTCTATAAATATATTAACATATATATATAAAGAATTTATAGAAAAAAAAAGAATATCAATTTTAACGAATTTTAAATTTAACATTTTTCTACTTATGTTTTTTATTACTTATGTCATTGCAAATTAAAATTTTTTTTGTGTTTTACATCTACGAAATTGAAGTGTAGGACGAAAAAATATAGGATTTCAAAGAAAAATAGTGGAAGAAAGATATTTCAATCCTCGATAGTGTTTGACGGTTATCATTTACGTTGAAGACAATATTTTTAGTAACACAAAAAACACTTTAGTTAAAATGAATTTTTGTTTTCTAAAAAATATTAAAAATTAATTTTCATTCCTTTTTCATACTTTCATATACTTGTGATACGTATATATAACATATAACTTTCACTCAAAAACGATTAATTAGTCAGAGTCGAAATGTGCGGCAAAAATTTTTACAAATATATTATTTAACTATTTGCAAGAATTCTTGATGAATATCGAATTAATAATTATATGCACTTTAATAATTATGGCACTTTATAATCTCTTAATTAAAATTCTAAAAAATCTAAATGAAAATATGAATCCATTTGAAAATAAAAAGCATGTAACCAATAATATTGACAATTTTATAATATTTTCAATTTGTTTCAATCTTCTCAAAACTGCACACTATTAATAATATTTATTGTCAATACTTACCGATGTTGACAATATCATTGATTGCGTGCGAACCTTTAATTCTTATAAGAAATAATCAATGTTTTCGATATAATTGAATTTTTAATTTGAGTAATTTTCTAATAATAAAATTCTAAACTTGAAATAAATCAAAATAAAAAAATATTAATTATATAAATATTAATATTAATGTTAAATATTAATTATTTTAATTCAGTTTATAACAATAGAATTTGAAAAAAAAAATTTATTTTAACGATTAAATATCTTTTTATTAATGTTATTGATTTAGATATAATAATTAAATAACTGATTGATATTAAATGATGATTTTTTATTTTCTATATATTATAAATTTTTCATTTTTATGAATTATCAATTTTTATTATTAAATCCTAGTAATTTCTCTTTTTTTAATCGAGATTTCTTACTGATCGAGTCTAATTTAATATCTAATAAAAAAATTTAAAGCAATTAATATTGTATGATTTTTCTCTGGAATTTTATATGGAAAAATGGAATATGTTAAATGGATATTGCATTCACTGTAACTTTTAAATACATAATTTTCACAATAATTTTATTTCTCAAAATAGTATTCACCATGTAAGAAATTTTACACTCAAATATATTCACACTCTAAGAATTCTGTTCAAAAAATAAATTTGAACCTTTTACACTATATGCATATCTATTATAACATATCTATTATAACAACAACTACAGCAGATATTTCGACGTAACACTACGAGTTGAACGTGAGGAATGAATTCCAAAAGATTGTTTCTTCGGTATATATGGTGTTTCACAATATATCCTACAAGTGATTTCGCTATGATCGAGAGATTAGAAAAATTGTATAGGGAATTTACTTTACCATAAATATAACTCATGTCAATTTTCCGGGCTAACCTCAACGCAAACATTTTATCAGTGTACAATGTTGTTTTCTTTTCTCTCTTCCGCGTTCTCGTTCATTGCTCGAAAACTTCCTGTCATCAGGGGAAATGTATTTCACGAGCTCGCTATAAATGAAAATATCTCGTAACTTCTCATAAACCTGTTGCTTCATATTTTAACGTTTTATCGAACGATTTATGTGCTAGGAATGTGTACGATATACTTATATTGGCTTGAAGTAAAACTTGTCGATTATAAAAATATATTGATGTTAGAATATATCATTCATTTGTCGTGTATCGACAAGATATTATAGAATTGCTATGCAATACGTGAAATAGTCGAATCATTAAAAATTTTTGATTCGTGTATTACTATTTTATTAAACTTTGTATATTACCTTTTATATTTCTTTTAACTGAAAATCATAGTCAAGAGTTATTATTTCTTGCATAACATTCAAAGAAATGCAAATTCAGAAAGGGTCGAATATATCCACGTTATTTCTGCATGATGAAAGATATATGTATAGTCGTAAAAACGTTATGATGTGAAAAAGAATATATACTCGTGTTTAATACGATAATACGTTATGCAACCGAGTCACATAAGAATAAAAGTTGAAAATATAATTGTATTTAATATTTGTTTCAATAATATCTGGACTAAATATTAAAAAGTAAAAAATTAATTTTTTTTTGTTTATTTACTTGCTTAAGAAATAAAATGCTTAATAATGAATAAATTTAATTAAGTATTATAAATTTTTTCTAAAACAATTATTCATTTATATAATGAAAGTAACAAAAAATATATATATATGAAATATAACTATGTTTGATGTTATTTGTTACAATAATATTTCGATTAAATAATAAAAAATAGAAAATTAAGAAATAGAGTTTTTATAATGAATAAATTTAAGTAATTTACAATCTTTTTCAAAATAATTTATTTACACAATGGAAATAAAAAAAAAAAAAAATAAATAAAATAAGATAAAAATTTTATTTGAATAATTGTTTAATTGAGAGTTTGTTTTATTTTTTAATCTTAAGAGTGATTATTAATTTGTTATATTTATATTGTTTTTAAATCTGTTACCATTCCTTTGTTTATATTTATTACAAATATTTTTATTCCCATTTTTATCTCTGTTAATAATCATTCACAAGTTCCAGTATTTATTTTATTTATTTAATTATTTTCATTGAAGTCTCATTATCTTGATTTTCTCTGTTTTAACCAATATTAATTAGTATTTAAATTTTTGTTTTTCAGATTAACAATTCGTATAATTTCTATTTAAGAAAAAATCTATAAAACATGGTAAGATAATTCTTTTTTAAGTTATATAGTAACAGAAAATTTTTTTCTTGAAAATTCATTGTAATCTGTTTAAAAAAATAATCTTTCTTTTGTTTCTTTGCAGAAATTTAGATTTTTAGGTGATGGCGATTGCCCTGACTGGTTGCTAGCCGAAATCAACACATTGTCACGTATGGTATGCTTTATTTTAATTTTTTTTACATTGTAAAAAATAAAATAATTTTATATATCTTATATAATTATTTTTCATAGACATCCATTAAAATTAAGATATTAGGACAAACGGTTGCAAAGTATCTTACGGAAGGAGAACTCGATGTAAGTATTAATTTATAATTGCTCTTTTTTAAATTATTACATTTTTTTTGGAATCTAGTCGTTTTCATATAGAAATTAAGAATTAAAATTATTTGACAAGAATGAATAAAAAAATTTTTAAGAAATCCTAAATAANTAAATAATATATCTTAATCGTAATGATTTCTGTTCTTTCACGTTTTTATGTATTGTACTGTCTCTCTTTTATAAAGAACTGAACGATGCAAAGGCTATGGTAGCAGCTCTTGAATTAATCTTTACATCATCTGCTCGATATGGTGTTTCTGCCGCTGATTTAAGCAGTGAATTACAGCAACTAGGACTCCCTCGTGAGCACAGTGCTGCAATTGCCAGATTACATACGGATTATTGTCCTCAAATTACTGCTACGCTTTCTTCCCAATCCTTGAGAGGTAATCAACGAACGAAATAATTGTTACAATTTATTGTTACAATTTTTTCAACAAAATATACTATGATATTATCAAGAATACATTATTAAGAAAATAATGTACAATTATTGAAAAGTTTTTTTAAATTTCATCTATTGATATTTTTTTCTATTCTAATTTTATTTTAATTTTAATTTAATTGTATTCTAATTTTAAATTTTTCAATATCATAATTTTATTGCATACTGTACGTAATAATATTATAATGCATGCACTTTTACAGTGAGTAGATTATCATCGATTGAAGTTTTGTCCTGTGATAATTCGTCACCTTTCTCCACGGTATCTCTTAAATTAAAGAAATTGGATGGAAATGTGGAAGATTCTATTATTAATATTTCAAAAAAAGATGTACATGTTCTATTAACAGGTGAGAATTAAAATTAAAAAAAAAAAATGTTAATTATAATTAATCATTCGTTTGTTTTTTATAGAATTACGAAGAGCCAAGTCATTGATGGAAAACCTTTGAATAAATAATATTCTATATATTAAACACAATTTTTATTAAAAATAATAAAGTATACTGTTCTTATTACAAATAATAAAGTAATGCTAAAAAAAAAAAATAAAATATATTTTCTTTGTGTATTTTATTTTATATCCTTTATTATCGCGTTTTTGATAAAAACAAATATTATAAATCAACGATACGATAAGTATTATAATTGTTTATATAGAAAGCATACGTCTTATTAAATGTAAATATCCCTTTCATAAAACATATTGACGCACAATGAAAAAATAAAATTTCTGAAATTTAAGAAAATAAGAAATATTATATAGCATAAGTACGAGGAAAGTATTGTTAAGGTATAATGTATATTTATTATATTATCATTTTTGTCATATAGCGTAACATTGTTATTTCTATAGTAATAATAATAATAATAATAATAATAATAATAATAATAATAATAATAATAATAATCATCATCATCATAATCATAATCATAATCATAATAATAGTAATCATAGCCCCATGAACACCCCACAGTAAGTTTTTTTTTTTTTTTTTTAATTCGTTATTCGAAAAACACGACGCGCTGATGCGCTTCAAGGGGTGAGAACCGCGATTTATATAATAAATACAATTGTGAAAAACTGTACTCGTCTTAACGTCTGCAACGCAGTCTCATAACGGCAGAAGATCGACTGTGAAGAAGAATGACTAGATGATCTTTTAATATTAGGAAATTGTTTTTCTGACTAGAACATTAGCGTATCCGATATTTCGCGTCGAGTAAACAAACTCTGGTACTATTACCGATTGCTTTTACTTTCAAACATTTTTATCACTTCATTATCAACTCGTTTGATATTTAACAGTTTTTTTCTTTTTTTTTTTTTTCGCATGGCTCGAATGACGATAATCTTTTCGACTCGGTCAAATTGAAAGAATTCGTGTCAAAATTTGAACGAGAGCACTTACCCCGATACGCTCGAGTGTCGGATACGTGTTACAAGTCGTGTAAAACGACGCCTTTTAAGTTGATATCTAAATAAAACCGTATCACCGTTCTCACACCCGTTTTAGCATCGCGATTTAGGGGTTCGTACAGGTGTTGAGGTTCGCACTTCGTTATCTTCGCATACCCTTTTTTTCCTTCCCATATATAGATTTCTTTCTATATTTTTTTTTTTCTCTCCTTTGTCTTTCCATTCATATATTTTATATATATATATGTATATATATATATATATCTTTGTATATATGTTATGTATACGCGTGCACATGTGTGCACGTGGTTTAAGTGTGAGTGTGTATATCTGTTTGTCTTCTTCTCGGTGTGTATGTGTTTATATATATTTTTATATATATATACCTTTTTTTTTTTATCATCTTTATATTTTAATCTAAACTGTCTTAATGAAAGCTCGTTCTTAACTTTTATATTCACCGTTGTTTTTTAATTTAAATTCTTTTTCTTGATCATCAATTTGTTAATACAAGTTGTGTCTAAATTGTTCACTTTATTTGTTACCAATGTTAATGGCTGTGTTTGTTTACTCATCCCGTTCGTTTCGTTACATTCAATTTCATAATTTTAATATCCTACCTAAACAGCTGGTCGTTATTAATT